AATATATAATTTATATATTAAATATGTATTTAAAACAGCATTTTTTTCTCAATGATAAAAAAAACATAGTATTTTATTTGTGTATATAACTTATTATAAATTTTAGTTTTGTATAATAAATATAATGTATAGGCTAAAATATTATTAGCTACAAAAACATTATTCATGGAGAAACGATATTCAAGATATTTTAAATGATTTTTTAATTTAAATATTCCTTTACAAAAATAATATCTTATATTTTTATTCTAAATCTTTTATCTTTTATCCCTTAATGATTTAAATAATCCATATTACAAAAATATCTATAATATTGTAAATCTAAATTTAATATAAGCCCTTTATCTTTTATTCCTTAAAGATTATCCTTATTTATTTATATATATATTTGTTTGCAGAGTATACTTACTTTCTTCATCATCTTAGAGTATACTCATTCCATCGTCCATCCCTTAGCAAAGAAGATGATCACAAGGAAGAAGGCCAATATTTGTTTGCCTCAAACACTCCCTAACGAATTGATCGAAGAAATTTTGTTGAGATTGCCAGTGAAATCTCTATTGCGTTTCAAATGTGTGTGTAAGTCTTGGCTTTCTCTTATCTCGAATCCTCAATTTGCTAAATTGCATTTTGATGTAGCCAAAACAACTCAACTTCTTCTAAGATCATGTCTAGGTTCCAAAATTGATGTTATAGACATAGAGGCACCACTTCATGGGGATTCTATGAAATTGGTCCTCAACATTCCAAGTTCATCAACCACTTACAAACGAAAATCCATGGTAAACCTTGTGGGCTCTTGTAGAGGATTAATACTCTTAACCACTATCCTTCCATACTCCAACTTGGTCAATTTTATGATATGGAATCCATCCACAGGTTTCAGTAAACAATTCAACAAACCATTTAACAACACTATTATATGTGGAATTGGGTATAATTCATCAATTGATGGCATAGTAGTGGTAGCGATTGTAATATCACGACCAACTTCAATAATTGAAATATCGAGCACGGAGGTCCATTGTTTCTCTTCAAGGACCAATTCATGGAGTTATATTGAAGTTCCTTTCACATACCAACTTTTGGGGTTTGAATTTGGAAACGGATTATTCTTAAATGGAGCTCTTCATTGGTTGGTTCGCTCCAATGATCTTAGCCTCAAAATTATTGCATTTGATGTGATGGAAAGGAAGCTATCAGAGATTCCACTATCACATGATTTAACTGTTAGATTACAAACTTACATATATCATCTGAAGGTAATCAAAGGATATTTGTGTTTGTGGTATGTAGGGAGTGAGTCTCTCAAGGCTGAATTGTGGACAATGAAGGAATATAAAGTGCAAGAATCTTGGACCAATTCATTTATTTTCTCTAATATCTATCCAATTCAGAGTTTTTATCCGATATATTTCACCAAAAATGGTGAAATTTTGGGTTATGGTAGGCATCATACATTACTAAAAGTTAATGAACAAGGTGAGTTGCTTGATCACAGTAAAGTTAGGAGGTTCATTAACGAACATAGTATACTAAATTATTGCATGTATACAGAGAGTTTGTTATCACTACCAGAAGATTATGAGAAATCAAGCAAAGATGAATAACAAAATTAGACTAGAAGAAGTAATTAATTTTTGCATTGTACTTTCATCCTTTTCATAATTTATTACTATTTACTACTCATGAATAAAATAAATGATTATTGTTAATGCATGATACCTCGTCTATATGATCTATATGATTTTGTATGTTCTAATTAGAATTTTGTGTCTATGTTTTATTTACTCCATAGCCATTTTTTTATTTATGAAAATTATAATGATATAACTTAAATTGTGTGCTTACTATTAAGTCAATTTCAGTTCATTATAAATATCGAGAAAATTTATCTAACTCCAAGTATATTTGGTTTCAAGAAAGTTTTTTTAACATTTCTTTTTTTTACAAATGAGATATAACTCCTTTCTAACAATGAGCCTAAAAGTAAGTTCAAAGAAGGTAAAGGAAAGAAATGTAGAACCGAGCTACCCTTTCTTTGGTAGGGTCCCAAGTAGAGAATTACTTGAAATAACAATGTTCAATTTTATAACACTTTTTTTACTTTAAAATTTAAATAATAAAAAATAGTAAAATTAAATTTAACCGTATAATGACAATTATTTATAGTTTTAAATTATAATATTTTTCAAAAGTTTAAAAATTTCAGTAAAATCTATACATACAAAAAATGTAAATAACTAAAATTAGTAATTTGAAATTACAAATTTAAGTCCAACTACTTCTAGATTCATGAAAGAAATTATAGAATTTTTTTAAAGTGATTAAAATTTTAAAAGTATTTATAACAAAAAATAAATAATTAGAATGAGTATATTTTAATTTAATTATTTAATCTCAGTTATTTATAGTTTCAAAAGGCATTTATAACTCTTTTAAAAGTTTCAATTTTCAATATTAACGCTTTTATAAAAAATTTAAATAATTAAAATCGATAAGTTTAAATTACTAATTTAACTGTTGCTAGTTCCAAGAAAGTATTTATAGCATTTTTAAAATTTTAAATTTTTACAATAACAATTATAAAAAAGTTTAAATAATTGAAATTAGTAAAGTTTTGAATTTAATCATTTTACACTATGTATTACATGTTTCAATTAAAGGTGTCAAAATGAATTTAGTCCAATAAATTAGTTCGACAAATGAGTTGAGTTGTGAATATTCTCGTCTTACCCAATATTTTTACTGGTCCAAGCGCATAGGCCATTTTTTTTAATTGATAAAAGAATAAATGATAAATTTAATATTACATATTGTTAGTGTCCATATGATTAATATTTTATGTATATTAAGTTTTGTTTTAAAATTTTTGTATTTATTTATTACAATTGATACATTTTATTTCTATTATTATTATATTTTCTTATTTTATAATATTTTTTGATACATTGAGAATCTAATTACTACAAAAATAAGTCCTAATAAAATTATTTCACAATAATTTAAATTTATATTAAATTTTAATGATCCAACCAAAGTTCTTATTAAATAAATTATATCTATAAATTTTTACAAATTTAAAAATTATTTGATATTTTGTCACAATAATTTAAATTGATATATATTCATAAAAAAATATTATACATCAATTTGAATTTATATAAAAATATATTGTATAATTTTTTACTTATCTAAAAAATTATAAACTTGATCTATTTAATAAAAAAATTAATTTAACAATTAAATTATTAAAATTAATATAAATTATGAATTATTAAGTGAAGTAATTGTAACGAGACTTATTCTTAGAGTAAGTAAGTCTCATTCATTTATTTTATAACATAAAATAATCATCTATATTTTCTTATACTAATTTATAGGTAATAAATTTTTATTAATTATATATATATATAAAGTTTGTTATAGTAATATTTAATTATTATTTAAAAAAATAATTGATCTATCAGCTAGCCTTTTGGTCCACAACCCACTAATTGGGATGAATCAAGAGACTTTTAACTCAATGTCCAATTGGTCTGACCTAAAAATGTAAAATGTATTGCCTCATGAAGAGTGTAATATCCTAAGATTTTTTATAAAAAAAATAATTATTTGCGTACTATTTAGTAAATCTGTTATTTTAATATTTAAATCTAATAATTTGTCATTTTGAAGTTTCTGAAAAGAGTTTTGAAAATAAAAAATGACTTATGTATTTTAATTGAAAAGAAACATTAAGCTTCAACTAATTTATAAGAGTTATTATTGTTTGATCTAGTCTTAAAAGGGACTTTTAATGTGTTTTGGTTTAACAAATTGAACCTAATGTCTTTTAGAGACTTTGGGTTATCATCCGAATTGTTCCAATCCAGTGCAAAATCATATATTTAATAATTTTTAAATAATTATGTATTGATAATATAATTTTTTGAATTAATAAATCATGTTTTTTTTAACATAATATTATATTGATATTGATATTATGTATCTTGAAATATATATTATCAAATATACTTTAATTATATTTTAAATTTTTTAATTTAATATATTAACTACATGTAATATTAAAATTAATATATTATGCTAACATGTTGAGTTGACCTAGTCTTATTCACATATTTATTAGTTATTCATCAGATTGAGTTCAAGTTTGCAGAATTAACTCAAGTAACCTTTCAGAATGGGTACAAGTACAAACAAACTTATTTCACGAACACTCCTAATAGATGCTTGTTTATCTTTCACAAGTTTCAATAATTTTTTAGTTTGAAAGGAAATATATCTCCTTCTAACTGAATTAACTCTCATAAAAATGAAGTAATACTTGTGATTGTGGCTCTATATCCAATATGAGAATCAAATCCCGATCCTTGATATTCATATTTTGTAGATGAAGATTATTGTGCAAGCCTCATATTTTATGGGTGGAGAGATACTAGAATAAAGTGGAGCATAGCTAAGTGATATATCTGGCTTCGACCACTTATTTAGTGGGTTAGCATTAAGTAGGTTGGACCACCCCAAATCAAATGGACAACCCCTGTTTCGTTTCTATCACCAGACATTTGTTGAAACTGTTTCGTTAAAGGAGTTGATGAACATTTTAGCAATATAGCCCGGTGGCATTTGAAACTATTTTTGTTTTTGTACTAGTAGGCACCTCCTGGGCTAGGTAATGGACCGAAACGACCACCAAAACCGAAAGGTCACAAGACATGTCGGCCCCTGGACAAACCGAACACCCATTCGGCCCCAGACTAGGCCGAATACCTCTTCGGTCCCGTGACAGGCAAAATATCTCCGTTCCCTCGCAAAGCCAGAGGTCCCATTCGGTCTTAGCCCTGGCCGAATACCTCCTCGGCCTTTGCCTTGGCCGAGTACCCCCTCGGCCTTTACCTTGGCCGAACACTTCCTGGGCTTCTGCCTTGGCCGAACGCCTCCTCGGTTTTAGGCCTGGCCGAAGGCATAAAAGAGGTAGTTCATAATAAGCAGGTGATAAATCATGTGATAATTATCATGTATATCTAAGTAAGATTAAGGTTAATCCCAGTATTACCCATCTCCCAAGACGGAAGGCCCACCAGGCCCAAATATGTCACTATAAATATACAGGTGATGTGACATAAATGAGGTACGTTACTATTCCAACTAGCACATTTATTGCTTTGAACCGAATACTGACTTGATCGTCGGAGTGCCTTTGCAGGTACCCTCCCCCATCACACAGAGCTAGTGTTCGGTCGGTACGGAAGACTTGGAAGGACTGGAAGGCCGCTAAGGAGAGAGCCAGGAGAAGAGTGTCCTTACACAGGAACATTTTGGCGCCCACCGTGGGGCCGAAACCATAACGGTTCTCGACCCTGAAGCAAGATGGTGATGACAAGGAGCCAGCAGGAGAACGCGGCAGACTACCCTTTCGGAATGCCCCGAGGCACCCATGGACAGCAAACTAATCAGAACGAGGGAATAGAGGAGTCATATGTGGACAGGTCTCAGCAACCTAATCCATCGTCCGCCATTGAACAACTGAAGGCTGAAATGATGGAACTTAGAAGGTTGAGGGAAAAGGACGCTCACGAGCTGTCAGCTCTGAGAAGAGAGAACGCCGAACTCAGAAGCGATAATCGGACGTGGCACCCGTCGCGCGATACGCTCCATCAGACAACTCGAGACCACGGAGAATCGTCCGGATGGTACAAGGAAATCAACGTCCCTCGGCCATCGAGCGTACCAACCATAACGACCCAAGATCAACGACGACAAGGAAAGACGCCGTTTACACCAGACATTGCTGGAACACGGTTGCCCGACAACTGGAAAAACTTGACCTTGGAAAAATACGACGGAACGGCCGACCCGGAGGAACACCTCGACGCCTTTGTCACCCAAGTCAGCCTATACACAGATGAAGATGCCATTTTTTGCAAGGTCTTTCCCACCTCTTTGAAAGGACCGGCACTTAACTGGTTCACTAGACTTCCACCTGGGTCGGTAGAATCGTTCACATCCTTGTCCTCTCGTTTCGTGATACAATTCGCCACAAGCCGGCCCCATCAGCTCACATCCATCGCGTTGGTTAATATACGTCAAGAGAAGAAAGAGCCTTTGAGAGCTTTCATGGAAAGATTCGGAAAGATGACTTTGTCTATTCGGAATCTTGACCCGGCCGTAGCAATGCATCACCTTACCACTGCCCTACGACCGGGGCCATTCGTTAACAGCCTCTGCAAAAAGCCGCCAAGGGACCTTGACGACTTGCGGCAGAGGGCCACTAAATACATGCAGATGGAGGAATTGGCCGAATTTCGGAGTCAGAACCGACCCGACCTGTTCCCCGCCAAAAAGGAAGGTGACAAGGAGCTGTTCAAGCCACGCCTCCGAGACTTAACCGACCGCGATAAAGGTAACAGGGGGCCAAGATACACGCACTACACGCCGCTTAACGCTAGCAGAGCCAAAGTATTGGAGCAAAGTGCGCGGGGCGCGAGTCTCTGCCTTCCCCACGCTGGGCGCGGGTTAGGCCCCGCTGAGCGCACGAGACTCCTTGAGTCTCTGCCAGGCAGGCGTTGGGCGCAATTTGGAATTGCGCCAGGCGCGGGAGAGCCTTGGTACTCTCGGGTTGAGTCTCGCTGGGCGCGAGCACTCTTGCACTGGGCGTGATGGCCCATGGTGCTCTCAGGTTGGGCCGCGCTGGGTGCGACCTCGAGCACGCCGGGCGCGAAAGGGGATATTGAAACATATGTTGTTGGCTGTTGAATTGTGTTGAACTTGTTAATCAATGTTGTTATGTGCTGAGCTAAGTTGCATTTGATGAATATGCTATGATGACTAGGTGATAAAGCTGAGATAATAATATCTAGTTGTATTAGAGGTGTATTGTTGAGCTGAAATCGATGGATTTAATATGCAAAATTTTATAGTCTAACGGAACTATAGAAGGTTGGGCTGAATTGTAATAAACAATAAGCTTGTTGAATTGCTGTGCTGTGTTATGTTGTGCTGTGCTGTGCTGTGCCGTGCTGAGTTGTGTGATGCTTTAGCCGCTAAGTCGGTGCTGTTATTAGCCACATGTGTGGTGCTGATACGACCGCTAAGTCGGTGTTGTTATGGCCGCTTCGCGGTGCCGTTATAGCCACTTGAGTGGTGTTGTTGTTGCTGCTAAGCAGTGCTGATATTGCCGCATTGCGGTGCTGATATTGTTGAGGGGTATAAGCTGTATAGAAGTGTTGATAGTTGTAGCGGTTGATTATTATATTGCTATATATATATTAGTATGTTGATTTTAATTACACTAGCTTACTCTTTTGTTGTTTTCATGATGTTGGACTGCAATGATCATACTATGTATGGGAGCAGAGCAGGGATAGGTGGGCATCTGATGATGAGTCTTCGGCGGACCAGTAGAGCTGATCGCTTTTGTGTTTATTTTGCTGTGTAGCTACTTGGGATAGTAGCATTTGATTGTAACTTCTTTTGTACACTCTAACTCTAGTTGGATTGGAACATTGTATATATTTATATTCTAGACCCTATAATTATATACTCGTTCTATTCTGTCTAGTGTTTCCGGTGTGCGGTAGTTGGAAGTGTAGTGGCCAGCCGGGTCGTTACACTTATAGTGTCGATGTAACTTTTATTAAATATTACACCACTCAATAACTTTACGTTAAATGTGAGATTAAAAATTCATATCACTTTATATGTGTATATCAAATTTTGTTAAAATTGAACAAAAACTTGAAGGTAATCAAAGTATTCATATTTTAGTATATTTTGAAATGTATATATTACGTCAATTTTGTTTTATAAGAATGAAGTATCAAATCATCTTAGATTAATATAAAATTTTGTTTATATAATCTAAAAGTAAAGAACTTTCAATCTAGCAGTTAGATTTACAAAACTCACATTTAATATAAAGTTATTAAGCGGTGTAATACTTAATAAAAGTTATATCAGTGTTATTATAACCCTCCTATATATATATATATAAACTATCATTTGAAACAAGACAAAATAGAAGAAAATAAAATATTAAATTAAAATATTTTCTTTTGCATGAAAAGAGAAGGAAAGGAGGAGAAATTAAAAAAATAAAATAAAAATATCTCAAAAATAAAATAATTTATTTATTCACAATTTGTATGAACATTATTGTTTACTAGCAAAATAAAGGTACTCTGTACCATGTGAATATTATGTATGTAAAAGTTATAAATTTATAAGAAAGTTGCAGTTTATTAAAGAAAAATTTTATTTTGGATAAATAAAAATTACTAAATTATCCTACACTAAATAAAGATGTTATATGGTTACCAAAATAAATAAAAGATAAAAATATTTTAAAAATATATACACAAAAATTTTATATCGCCTTTATATATATTGTTATAAAGTAAATTTATTAAATAATAATATTATAATCTAATAATCTAATATAATCTAGGAGTTGCTATTTTATATGTTATTATATATTAAATACTATGATAAAGAAAAACAACGACGACTTAATTTTAAATGAAGTGAGAATTGATATATTAAGAGACAATCAATTTAATTAATATTAATGATTAATTAATTTGAAATTCAGTAAAAAATAATATACTAAGATAAAATCTATTATATATTAACAAACAATTTATTTAATTAAATTTGATGACTAATTGATTTTTAGGTGAGAGAAAATGAGAATTGATTTATAGATATATAAATAGATAACTTATTTTTATTCAAATTAATAATTAACCATTATATATTAAATACAAATATATATCTTATATGAGAGTGTTTTAAGGGATTTTTCTTGACGATAGGACTTTTAAAGATTTTTTTAATTTCTTATCTAATTTAACTTTTATTTATCATAATTATTTATAAATTAAATTTTAATTTTTTAAAATAAATTCAAAAAATAAAAATAATTTTATGTTATAATATAAATTATTTATCATAAATGGTATGTAATTCTTCTTCACAAAAATTTTCTCAAAATTTTCTTTGTATCCTTCAAGGCTTGTCCAGCTGCAGCAACCTCCCAAGTGTATCTCTCCTCTCTTAGAAATAACCTTGATGTAGGTTATTCTTAGGTGTTTAGCCTCCCACCAAGAGCTTTCCACCAAAGAGAATGACAATCTATTAGGCTCTCACAAACATTCCAAGATGCTACCCTTGTACTTGGCTTTCCACACATTCAAAGAGGCACTCAACACACCTTAAGTTGCTGGAGTTATATGGTAAAAACTGAAAAAGAACAATTAAGAAAAGCTACACCAAATGGTAGAGTTAAATGAGACAAAACAAGAAGGAATTCCAATGAAAGACAAGCAAAAATTAAGGCACTAAAAAAGGCTAGCACATCAAAGTGAGCCCTATCAATGGTTCTAGAATGGATTACCAAAATAAAATCTAAGATTAAAAAACAAAATAAGACACAATCTCAAGTGGTTTATGGATGGATAGTTTTAGAAACAAAGCAACAATAATAGAATCCGAAAGCACAACAACACAAAATTTTCACTCCTTTTGGCTTTTTCTTTGGTTCTTTTATTTTATTTTTCTTTTGTATGCATTTCCTTTTCTTTTTTTTTTCTTCACACAAACAGGAGTTAATGCCTTTTATCTAATGAGAGAGTCTTGGATTTGGTAATGAAAATTGCTGCCAAAAAAATTTACAAAACAAGAGGTATACTAGTGTGTTGGTTTTTCTAGTACTCACAATTTTTTTGCCAAAATTTTAGGTCATTTTTAAAAACTTCTTCTTTTGTTTTTCTAATGCTTTTATAACACTAATACCTCTATTTTGCCTCTATTTTTGTAGACTTAAAAGATGTAATAAGTTTCAGCCACAACTCAAGACACAAGGAAACCTATGGAAGCAATTAGTGTTTATAATATTTTTGACAAAACTTTTTAGAAGACATAAAAGAAACCTAACTCTAGGAAATTTTCTAGAACTAATAGCAAATTAAGAACTCAAATGTGTAAAATAAAAGCACATATAGGTCAGCCACAAAGATTACAAAATCAAAACTGCACCAAATATTGACACAAATCAAGACAAAAAAATTAAGGTTCAACAAGCTAGTCTAGGAATTAATGACATGTAAAGGACTACACATGACTCTAGACAAAACATATGATTCAAAAACAAAAACACGTGCTATTCATTGTTATAATCCAATCCCGGATTCAAATTAAAGAAATAGGCAATACTCAAACAAATTAAAAACGCACAAGCACAAAGAATCCTAAAGCAAAACCGGATTGATTCAAGAATAAAGGAACAAGTAATAACAATGAATCAATCAATTCAAGAGACATTTGGATCCATCAATAATATGTAGAAAATCTAGATCCATACAGCAAACACAAAAATGACATATAAAGGAGAAAGAGACAACATGGATTGGAGAACAAAGATTAGGAACACATAACCTCAAGAGCACCAAGGCTCTAGATACCAAAAATGATGGAACCTCTTGAAGAATGATTGGTGTTTCCTTCAAGCTCCACCTTCCATGTCCTTTCTTCTCTTGAGGTTCTTCACAACAATGGCGGAAGCAACAAGTTCAAGCTTCAAAGCATGAAGAAGCAACTAAGAGATGGTTCAGTTTTCTCCTTGGAAGTGGAGAAACTTAAGGAACCAAGCACAAAGGAGGAATTCCTTTGTGGAGTTCTTGAGGAGAACGGTATTCTCCACGGTTTGGGACTCTTGAGAGAGAGAGAATTTTTAGAAATATTGCAAGAATTGTGTTGAACTTGTTAATCAATGTTGTTATGTGCTGAGCTAAGTTGCATTTGATGAATATGCTATGATGACTAGGTGATAAAGCTGAGATAATAATATCTTTAAGCAATTTTTCTTGTTATTTTAGTCTAGATATAAAATAGGACACTCTCCACAACTAAGTCGTTTACTAATCATTGCTTAGATTTATGGAAAATTTTAAATTTGAGAAGGAAAAAAAGTACCATATCTGCTTAAAGAAGATAAACACTGCTAAGCCATTCATCTAAGACATTCTTAAAGCTCATCGTTTAATAATCTCACTTTCAAACGGTTTATTCTCTCTAGTTTCACTTCAAATACAACGAAGTGGAATTTCTTGGCACATTTTCCTGCTACTTGTTTTTAAACAAACCTCTTTCCAAGACCCAGTCTTCAATCATTGCTTGAGAATTAACAGCTTTGTCAGTAGGCAAAAGATGCCCAGCACCCAAAACCACAACATTGGTGAGAGACTTCCACTTTTGCACATACCCAGCAATCCCTCCATTAACCTTCCATATCTTCCTTTCAGCATTCAGAAACCCCTCAATCCCTTCCCATTTCATTGTCTTCACCCAAACCTCTGATTGAACCACACCATCCCTCAAATCATACTCACCTTGATATAACAACACCCTGCTCCTCCTCACCAAGTATTCCACCATATACTTCACACTCTTCATTACATCAGCATGCAAAGCAGCCCCAACAACTTCACTACACACCTCATACACAAACGACTCATTCACCCCCAAGGCCTTCTTCACCTCAGCAATGTTCAAGAATTGCTCAACCAAATCATCCTGATAAGGAACTTTCCTTGTATAGTCATACAAAGTAGCCAACCCTGTCATGTCTTCCAACATTGTCAACACTTTGCTTCTCGCATCCGTTGCTTCACTCCAATTCCCCAATTGGGTCAACCTAACTGCTTCCAATTGAGCTTTCTCCAACACATTCTTTTGTCTCTCATTGATCAACCCAACATAATAAGCATTCAAAGCGTGAGTAGCAACTTGAGTCTCAGGGTCAGTTAACCCATCCCCAATAGCCACACCAGCCAAATTCACTCTTTCAGAAACCCCCAAGTTCGCATTTTTATTCAATATGTAATACCCAATAGCAGGCACATACTTCCCAGCATAGCTTTCCCCAGTAATATAAATAGGGCGGTGCTTGAAAGCAGGGTCAAGTTGAACAAACCTGGTTATAGCAGCAAAAAGATGATTTGCAACCGCGTTTTGATCAGTTGGAATTTCTTGTGTCGTTGAGGCCACACTGAAGCCAGTTCCAATGGGACTATCAAGAAAAAGAAGTCCAAAAATTCTATTCCAAGCACCAGGATTGGGTTTAAGGGTGAGAGATTCGGTGACACGCCAGGGTCCAAGTTCGTACAAGTTACCAAGCATGGAGGAGCAGCCAGGGCCACCTTGGAGCCAAATGAGAAGTGGGGTTTGAGAGAGAGGTAAAGTGGAGTTCTGTGCTTCATAGAAAGCGTAGAAAATGGCAGAAGTGGAAGTGGAGCTTATTGGAAGGTAACCATGCTTGGTGGGGAGGGCCTCTTTGGGGAATGAATGGATTGATTCAGAAACTGAGACTAAGAGAGGAAATAGAAAGAAGCAGAAGAAGATGTGGATTTTGATGAAGAGGTGCTTGTGGATCGCAAACTCCATCGTATCCTGGTGTATGTATGAATGAGTATGAACTTAGTGCAGATAGTAGCGTAATGCAAGAGATGAACTAATAGCTACTTTGGTAAAAACGTTGGGTTTGGATTTTTGATACAGACAAGAAACAAAACAAAACCGTGTGTATGCCCCGACAGCAGTGTTAATGAATAGCATTGAAGAAAATGAAGATAAGAAGGGCCTTATGGAATAGGGAGGTAGGTGGAGGTCGTTGACCACGTGTGCATGCACTGACCGCAGTGTCTGACGCAAGTGTTGGCTACTCTTCTCTAAGAGCATCGGGGTTGCTTATAAGCCACTCCCTGTGCCACATCACTGCTAAATCAGTTCTGTCCCACTTTATGGATTGCTTAAATTTTAGCAGAATTGCTTGTAGAAATAACTCTGCTAAAATTTAAGCAACCCATAAAGTGAGACAGAGCTGATGTGACAGTGATGTGCACAGAAAGTTGCTTATAAGCAATCTCATTGCAGATGCTCTAATGCAATCAAATTTCATTAGTTGAATACTGATAATTTATTGAAAAATGAAAATAGCTTTTATCATCAGATTTTCATTGAATTATTTTTAAAAAGAATACACGTCAATTGTTCATATCTTAATTATCTTTGTTGTGTGAATTTCTTGTTTAATATTATTAAGCAATTTCAACTAAAAAAATACACCGAAATTGGAGACAAAAGGTTCACATATTAAGGGTTTGTTTACTTCTCATAATGTTTTCGATCTGTTTCATATTTTTTAAGATTTGTACCAAAAAAAAATTCTAGTGCAATCTTTTAGATATTAAACAGAATCAAAATAGAATCAAAATTTTATAAATTAAAAGTAAAAAAAATAAATAAAAACAGAAGTGAACGATACATTATCATTTGATATAAAAAAAACTTGATCGAAATAATAATAAAACAGATTTGGAACGTCACAATCAGGGATGAATTGGCTATCAAGATATCTTGGGTTCTGTGTTAACCATGTGACACGTCTAATAAATGCATGTTTATTTTATCATTTGAAAAAGTCAAACGTTTAATTCAATCAGTTCACATTCATATTTTTCTGTATGAGTATATGAGAATATGTGTAAAGGAGTATTCAAACACACCCTAAACAGTGGGAAAATCTCATTACAAGACTACAGGAAATTACAGGAGGTATTGTATACACCAGTCATGTATAATTGTTGTGTCGGTGTATCACAACGGCTTCCTTAGAAATGTACCAAACCTGAACAAATTATGATTAAAAAAAACACCGAATAGATTAAAAGGAAAAAAACAATCTAAGGATGAAAATGATCACATCATATACATTAAGATAGCACTGCGAACCTTGACGTGTGAGAGTGAATGGAATACTTAACCAACCAAAACAAGTATTAACCAAATTATATATCAAGTTATCAACTTACTATTGAACAAACAGATTTCACTTTATTTCTGAACCTTTCACCTTAAATTATCATTCAAGAAATCCATATTCAATGAAGATTAGAAATGCAAACCCAGGACAGATAACTCTTAACCTTCCTCCGCGGGGAAAGGAGAAGTGAGAAGTCAACAAGTATACGACCAGCTTCATTTATTTTATTTTTACAGAGAAACAAAAACTCTATAGTTATCTTGCTTTCAACACACAACGCACCATCTTGTGCTACTCCATGCCAGCTATAGATCATAAGTACCTAAAATTTTGGTCAACAGAAATCCTCAGCAGATTTATTGTTTCTCGTTGAAAAATAAGGAGTTAACTGAATTTCAATGATGGATGTCAAAGACTCAGGTTAATAAGCCGGGTCCCAGAATGATATAATATGATAAAAGCTGATGGAACTCCTCCCAGCAATACTAAAAACGTGAATTAATTACCAGAAAAATAATGTAAAGACATAATGTTTTTAAAAACAAAATATTGTTCCACTATCAATGCTAAGAGAAAAGACGCATTGAACAATAAGAATCCAATCAAACTTGCTAACATACCTACTTATAAAGTTAGAGTAACTTTTCTAGACAGACTCGGCAGCAGTTATAAGTGCTTTAAAGTTATTTTTGTTTTTTCTATGCTTCCATAAACCTGCAAACTGAAATAGAACTTCAATTTAGTTTTGAAACCCTGTCCTAACATTGACATGCGTGCGATTGAAGTTGCCGATGACTTCATTCTTTTTCTGAGTTAGTCTATTTGGTAATGGCTTTAGCACCCAATTTGCCCTGTTTGCTCCAGCCTTAGATTGTGAAACCTCTCCTGACCCACATCTTGACTCTGATCCCAATCTTGGTTCTCCTGACTCTGATTTATGATGCCTCCCCCGTCTTTGTACATGCAAACTTTGGTTATCATTCCTCCCCGAACATGGAGAGTTCATCAGACCTTGAGCTTGGTCTTGTGGTTGCAACTGCTCTTCACTTGTATTTTGATTTAGCTTAGGAGGTCTCCCGCGGCTTCTACCTCGAAAATAATGCAGATTAGAAGGTCTCCCCTGACCTCTACCTCTACCATGCTGCTGACCTTCATCTTCTTGTTGTGACTGCTCCTGATATTGAACTGGATTTCCATTTAATTTAGAAGGTCTCCCCCGACCTCTACCTCGACTATGCTTCCGAGTTTGATCTTCTTGTTGTGACTCCTTATATTGGATTAGATTTCCATTCAGTTTAGGAGGTCTTCCCCGGCCTCTACGACCATGCTGTTTATCTTGATATCCTCGTTGTAACTGCTCCTCACATTGTTCAGTAATTTGATTTAGTTTAGGAGGTCTACCCAGACATCTACCTCTACCTCTACCAAGACCACGACCACGACTCGTCCGACCTCTACCCCTGCCATTCTGATGTTGCCTCTGCTCATTATGAATGTCATCATCTGAAGGCAACAATGACTCTCCTGGGTGATTTGATCCAGTGTCTAACTTAGGAGGCCTTCCTCTGGGACGTTTTAGTGGCCTCTCCTCAGAATCCCTGGACATGGGGTTCTCATCTAGATTTCTTTTAGGACTTCCTTGATTGCAATGCAGGGGCTGCTCATCATGAATACTCTCACAATTTAATGAAGCTTTTCTTTTGGACACTGTAACCAAATCAATACCTGAAGTAATTTGCTGTTGCAACTGTGTTGATGGTAATTTTATTCCAGTAGATATTATGCACTCCGGAGACCCTTCTGAAGTTGGAACCACCAATTGCTGCCCAGAATTGTGAGTTGGATTAACAGGAGAATTAGGTGTTGCTGGCTGGAATGAAGAACTTGTTTCTTTATCCTTTGAATAAGAAGAGCAAACCATATCTTCAGCTTCATCCTCTGGATGTATCTTCTTATTGATGCCGTTTGCATTTCTGAGTAGCTTATGACCCCTTCCCCTACTCATACCTTGGGATTGTGACAGACACTGTTCATCAATTTCCTTTTCATTTGGCTCTTGATCAATAACAGTAACATCATCTGAGAGCAACAATGACTCCTCTTGATGGTCTGCATTTTGCTTACACTTACGAGGCCACCTCCCTCTCCATTGTTGATCAGGATGCCTAGTCATCAGGTCCTCATCTTGCTTACTTTCTTGAACGTTCAAAGACAATGATCCTGACATTTTGACTGCTGCATCCAAGCTATTTTCTGAAGGCCCATTACATGGCACTTGCATTTGGAATTGTGCAGGTGATAATCCTGATCCTGCTGCCGGTAGGCACTTCATCGCTGTTGGCTGGGAGGAACAATTTGTTTCCAAATGCAGCATGGAGTCCTGTTTAAAAGTTTAAAAAAAAAAAAAAATAGACCTTATATGTATATCCACAGCCAATAAAAGGGAGAAGGAATTTGTACTTGCATTTCTAGAAATAATTTAATAAACTAGTAAGATGAATGACTCCCATAAGGTAGTTTAAAAAGGAATGGAAATAAAAGCAACAAATGAATTTTGTAGCCGTAAAAGAAATCAGAGTATGAAACATGTTTTTATCCTGAAAGACAACAAAATAGCTTATAACATGCTACTTTCCTATGAATAAGTAAAACATAACTTTTTTCTAATCATTGAAAATTGAAGAAAAAAAAATTGTCGTCATATGACCTGGATGTCACAAAAGGTCAAGGGAATCAATTCATCAGTCTCCTACTCTCCTTACTTAACCCGTCCTTTTCTAGTTTCCCAATTAAAATATAACAACACAACCAACACAACTAAGAGAATATTATTATTTAAATGAGAGACTGTGTCCTTTTCTAGTTCTCCCAATTAAAATATAACAACACAACAAAAACAAGTAAGAGAAGGCTATTATTTAACAGAAACACTCCAAAGTTCATGTCAAAAACACTTTCTTTTGGACTTACAGGGGATGTTTCCGAAAATCGACCCAAAAACACATAGTAGATCCAACCCACCCTCCCTAACAAAAATATGATAACTACAACAACAGCTTAAACCGAATCAAATTATTCCCATTTTGCTTTATCAACATAAAGATTATACCAAAATTCACATTACCACCAAAGAATAAAATTTTCAAAAAACAGCGAAATGTGACAGCACCTGACATTGTTGTCCCACCACTTGAGGCTGACCCTCTTGAGATTCTCCTTCTTCAAAGCTGTCTCCATCACCAACATTCCTTCTCCTATTGACCCTCTTCCTCTTCCCCCTACTCTCACATTGTTCTTTGGTCTCGTCGTCCTCTTCATCAACGAGCGCGAATCTCCCACCCTCCGCACATGCGATCTCTCCAATCTGGCAAAGCTTCTCCAATTGCATACCGAGAATCTTGGCATGGGCCCACGGCAAGTCGTTGTACTCCCTTCTAATGAACCCCGATATGGCCTCCTCCGTAGAACCCTCTTCCTCCTTCAACCCTATTATCGCATTGCGTATCATCTACACACAAAAATACACGTAAATTCATAAATATATAAAAATAAAAATAAAAAAAGGATAATGATAAAATTGATGATGGGTGTTACTAACCAAAGCGTAAGGAGGGTGGGTGGGAGTGTGGAGCGTAGGTAAAAGGTTTTGGAGGCGACGTTGAATGAGAGAAGCGTGGTGAGGGTTGATGGAGAGGGAAGGGTGAAGTTGAGTGAGTTGAGCAATGAGAGAGTCTGTGAGGTGAGACATGATCTGAGAGGTTGTGGAATCTTCCATGGTCGTCCAAGGTTTTGGTTCAGAGGGTTTACCTATCTATATATAATGCGTGCCTACTTCTTGAAACCTCGGAGATAGCTTTGCCCCAAGTTTTGTTGCCTTCGTATTTTCTCTATATAATAATAATGCCTTTGTTTTTCTCTGCATTTCATATTCCATCTTATCTTATCTTATTTTGGATCCTTCTCTTTTATTTTCTGTAATTTTCCGAGATTATCTCGGTTTTTCTTTTACGAGTTTTAATTTATTTATTTTATGATTTCTATTTTGACTGTTTTGTTTTTACTATGACTAACTGAGGATTTGATGGACTTGCATATGTTTGATAATGATGTGTCTTAAGTGATGTGGAGTTGATAATTCAACAAGTATTTATTTTATTCTCTGTTTTAATATTTACTTTATTCTGTTTTAATATTTATTTTATTATTTTATTATTTTATTCTTGGAAGTATGATTGTTAAGTAACAATCCACATTTTATAATAATATACTTATGGCTAAAAATTATTTTTATACTATAAATATAATATATATTAATATATTATTAAAAATATAAGTATAAATTATAGTAATATTTTTTGTATGTAATATTTTTTATGATGATTATTTTTTTATTTAATATGTTAAAATATATTAATATTTTATTTTATTGTATAATTATTTTTATTTTATGACAAAATTATCTTTATTTTTTATTATTATAACATTTTATTTTTTTATCAAAAATTTATTATTTTTTTATTTATTAAAGATGTCATAATTTAATTTATAAATATAAATTTTTTTATTTTTATTTTAATTTTTAGTTCTTTTCATATTGTTATGTATATTATGTGTTGGTAGTAAATAATCTAAATTAAGATAAATGAAAGAAATTATCACACAAAATTTTTAATTTTTTTTACTTAAATATATTTA